TGCACTGGGCTGGACTCCTAGAGCACACAGATGTAGATTGGGACGGTGAAAAAAATGACAGAAGCCACCTGATGGAATGCTGAATTGCTGAGGCCCAGTGATGGGTACACAGGGATGATTAAACTGTGCATTGGAGAATTTCCATAATAAAGAGTTAAAAACTACTTCCTAGCCATGAAGACAACTTTGTTGCTAATGTAAAGGCATGAGTTACTGTGCAGTGGGCCTTGAGTATCTGACTCGGGAATCTGGACTTAATTTTGTAGTTGTTGCTCCTCCATAAAAGCCCAGGCTCCACGAGCTCCCTCACCTTCTGAAACCTTGCCTATGGCTGTCACCTTCCCACCACTCTACCTGTGGAAGGAGCATTGTTGAGCGAGTCCATATTACACAGTAATCAAAGATGTAGACCCAGCCTCTCTTTCTTCTGAACATCTCCATGAGCTACTATGAGTCCTTCTGAATTCATTTTTTTTTTTTTTTTTTTTGAGACAGAGTCTCACTTTTGTTGCCCAGGCTAGAGTGAGTGCCGTGGCGTCAGCCTAGCTCACAGCAACTGCAAACTCCTGGGCTCAAGCGATCCTCCTGCCTCAGCCTCTCGAGTAGCTGGGACTACAGGCATGCACCACCATGCCCAGCTAATTTTTTGTATATATACTTTTAGTTGGTCAATTAATTTCTTTCTATTTTTAGTAGAGACGGGGTCTCAGGCTGGTTTCGAACTCCCGACCTCGAGCAATCCGCCTGCCTCGGCCTCCCAGAGTGCTAGGATTACAGGCGTGAGCCACCGCGCCCGGCCTGAATTCATTATTGATTCAGCACTATGTAAAGAGGAGCTTCCCAGTCTTGAAAGATTTGTAATCAGTAGAATCAGAAAAGTAGAACTTTTGAAAGAGAGGGGATGGACAACTTAAGTTGTTTATCTTAAGCTGAGCAACTTAAGTGTGAAACACATGTACAGAAGAGAGCATAAAACATACGAACAGTGTAATAAATATAAAGTAAAAAATAGTCATGCAGTCATGACCCAGGTAAGAAATGGGATAATAGGATATTGCCAGCACCTAAAAAGCCCCACCCCCTGCGTCTCCCCCAGATCAGAACTCTCTTCCTCCCCTAGAAGTATTTGGTGTTCTGACTTTTGTAATAATGGTTTCTTTATATGATTCCCCCTTGGATGTATCCCAAACATACATAGTTTGCCAGTTTTTGAACTTGTGTAAATGGAATGACACTATTTGTATTATGTCTTTTGCTACTTAATTTTGGTTTTTATATCATTCTCTTTCATCACTTTCTAAAATTATCCCATTGCATTACTCTGCCATCCAGTTCGCTGTAGGTGCACTTTGAGATGCTCCTAGCTTGGGGCTGGTGTGAACAGCAGTGCTGCTCTGACCATTCTAGTGTGCATATCCTGGGGCACCTGAGGGATAAGTACAGGAGGGAAACTGCGGGCTCACGGGATCATGCACATCTTCAACCTTCTCAGTTTGTGCCAATTTGTTTTTCAAAGTACTGCAACCACTTTGCCCTCCCACCAGCAGAGTGTGAGAATCTACATTGTTTCCAATGCTTGTTATCACTAGGCTTTTAAATTTTTGCCAATCTGGTGGGTGTGAAATGGTATCTCATAGTAGGTTTTAATTTGAATTTCCTCAAGTACTATTAAGGTTGAGTACTTTTCATTTATTTATTGGCCATTTACATTTCTACTTTTGTAAAATGCTTGTTGAAGTCCTTTACCTGTTTTTCTATTAGGTTCTATTTCTTATTTGAGTATATATACGTATGCTGTCCTAGTCCATTTAGCCTGCTATAACAAAATACCTGAGACTGGGTAATTTATTAAGATCAGTTACTGCCTCTGCAGTTCCAGAGGCACCAGCAGGTTGAGTGTCCATTGAGAGCCTGTTCTTTGCTTCCAAGATGGCACTTTGTTCCTGCAGCCTCTGGAGGGGAGGAACACTGTGTGTCCTCACATGGCAGAAGGGATGGAAGGGGGTGAAATGGGCGAACTTCCTCCGTCAAGCCCTTTTGTTTTTGTTTTTTTGAGACAGAGTGCAGTGGCATCATAACTTGAAATCCTGAGTTCAAATGATTCTTCTGCCTCAGCCTCCCAAGTAGCTAGGACTACAGGCACATGCCACCATGCCCAGCTAGTTTCTCTATTTTTTGTAGAGATGGGATCTTGCTGTTGTCAGGCTGGTCTCGAACTGGCCTCAAGTGATCCTCCTACCTCAGCCTCCTAAAGTGCTAGGATTATAAGCATGAGAGGAAGTCTTTTTATAAGGGCATCTAATTCCATTCATGAGGGCAGATTCCCTAGTGACTCAATCACCTCCTAAAGGCCACACCTCTCAATATTGTTGCATTGGGGATGAAGTTTCAACATGAATTTTGACTTGTGACTTGTCTTCAGTCTTTATGGTGTTTTGGTGAATAGAGTCCTTAATGTAGTCAAATTTATCTACTTATAACTAGAGCTTTTGTATCTTATTTAAGAAACCCTTCTCTACCTCAAGATCATAACATTATTCCCTACAGTCTTCCAGAATTTTTTTGTTTTGCTTTTTACATTTTAGGACTTTACCTGGAATTTCTTTTTTTAGTATGGTGTAGAGGAGTCCAATTTCTCCCCACCCCCCATATGGATAGCAAGTTTTGCCATTTCTTATTTTACCAGGTTAAGGTCTCTCTGTAAACTATCTTCTCTTATCACTATCACTTCATACAAAGACATTTTAATACCAAAATATGGGAGGAGGCCGGGCGCTGTGGCTCACGCCTGTAATCCTAGCTCTTGGGAGGCCGAGGCGGGCGGATTGCTCAAGGTCAGGAGTTCGAAACCAGCCTGAGCAAGAGCGAGACCCCGTCTCTACTATAAAATAGAAAGAAATTAATTGGCCAACTGATATATATATAAAAAATTAGCCGGGCATGGTGGCGCATGCCTGTAGTCCAGCTACTCGGGAGGCTGAGGCAGAAGGATCACTCGAGCCCAGGAGTTTGAGGTTGCTGTGAGCGAGGCTGACGCCACGGCACTCACTCTAGCCTGGGCAACAAAGCGAGACTCTGTCTCAAAAAAAAAAAAAAAAAAAATATGGGAGGAGATGAGGGTCAGAGTAAAGGAGACTCCTTTAATCAAATAATAAACTTACAATAATTAACTGAGTTGTACTCATTTATTATTTTTTGCTTTTTGTTACAGGGCCTGTGCAAAGCATTGCCTCAGCATGGGTTCATGGAGATGAAGGAACCTTATTTTTATACTGTGAAGGGCTGGTGTTCCCAAAGTTTTGTTACCAAAAGTTTGGCACTTGTCCCTAAGGCTGCATCAGAAGAAGGACAAGTGGTTTGAGGAAAAGGAAAGAGAAGTTTATTAATTTGCCAGCAAATGAGGAGGATGGTATACTCTCACCTTAAAGTACTACTGTCCTATCTATAAGCAGAAATACAGAGCTTTTAAACGGAGGTTTTAGCTTTGGGCTATTGCTGTTTAACTATATAGCATCTCTGGTGAAGACAATATCATGATCTCTGGCCAGACAATTCCATTTAACCATCTCCTGTGGTACAAAGAACCTTCCCCTACCCTGATCACTGGCCTCTGGCAGGGATGCAGATTTTAATTCCCAGAAAAGGTTGGGGGGGGGGGTAAAGAGACAACTTGTAATAATACATTTTGCCCTTTTCAGTCTAATGATCACATAAATGCCCAGTGTCTTCAGAACCATTCTGGGAGGCCACAGACTCTACAGACCTTTAACCCCGCACCAGAGACACACTGACCTCCAGCATCCAAGATTGACATGTCTTTGGCTACTTGCACTGAGAAGTCACTCTGAAGACTAAACCAAGCCCCTCACACAATATTTTACATCCTGTCTTCTCCCCCGTGGAGTAGCTGAGTACCCACCAAGTGCCACATACAGTCCATGACACTCACAGTTCCTGACCCCCTTGGAGCTCACTGTTCAGCAGAGGGAGGTGGGTGGTTACCATGGAGGGCGGAGTGCTGGGTGGAGGTGAGCAGGGAGCTGTGCCAGCACATCACAGGGCTAACCGCTTTTTGACAGGGACCAGTAGATGTCTCTTCCCCTGGAAACTCAAGTTGAGATCTGAAGGCAGAGTGAGAGTATTAGGGGTGAGGTGAGAGTGAGAGGTGAGGCCATGAGATATAAAGGACTCCAGGACCCAGGAGAACAGCATAGGCAAAGACTTGGAAGCAGCATGGCTTGAGGGAATGTTTTTTTTTTGGTGCAGCTGGAACCTAGATAGCAAGGAGGGACCAGCAGGAAAGTGAGGCCAGGCCAAAGGGAGGAGAGCCCCATCGGCCTGTTGAAAGAATGTGGACTTGATCTAAAGGTAGTGGGAAAACCTTGAAGGGTTTCCTGTGGACAAGTGGCAAGTTGGCTGCTGCCTTCCAGAAAGTTCTTTCTGCTTTCACATTGCCCTTCACTATAAATTCAATGAGTTCCTCAGCTGGCCTTTTCTGAACTCAATCATCACCCCCTTTCCCTTCCTCACTGGCCCAACTCCACAGCTTCCCACCAACTTTAATTCACATTTGCCCTAAACACAGTAAGTCTGAGAACAAAACTCTACGGTATGGCCCTCAGGCAAAAACCAGTTACTGTAGGAACCTTGTTTTGCCCAGATTCTTCTAGGAGTTAGATTAGCAGGAGTTGTTCGTGAAAAGGACCTGAAAGTGAGGGCGGGCTTACAGAAGTCAACAGTAGAGAAGACACTCCAGCATCTGTTCTGTGTCAGTTACTCTTCCCAGCAAAGCGGAGACCCGGGAGACAGGTGGCACACTGCCACGTCAGTGTGTTTGAACTCGGAGAAAACTCACTACATCTTCACATGGTTTGCATGCAGGAAAAGAGTAGTTTGTATATGCACAAAGCCCATCTGTAGCCAACATCTGGATTTACATTTATATTCTATCCAGTCCATGCATTTTTTTCTTACTGATAAAATTTAACAGAAGACTCACACACTTGCTCTAGGGAGTATTTAGGTCAAAATAAGACGATGGAGAATTTGAAAAGTAGCCTTTCTGCCTGCCTCCTGCAGGCTCTGCCCTAGAAAATGGTAGCTGAGCAGCACTTCCTAGAAACTGCTGAGACAGAGACTAAATTACACTGTCCTTTGTGACCCCGTCCTGAACTGGTTCTTTATACAAACTAATCCATTTAGAAGCCAAAGCCTCTGTGCTCTAGATACATCCTTTAGTCTCACAAAACATCTTTGAAATGGAAATTCCCAGGTAGTTTTAACAGATGAAGATGAATATTTTTGTGTGTGTGCCACTCACTTTATGGTCACTAAAACCACAAAGCCAGCAGAATGGAGTTCTTAAATCTTATATATTTTACAACCTTTAAAGTGTGTTTATCCATTAATGACAGATACCCCACTTTGAGACTCACAGTTGAAAACATTTTTGAGTGTGATTAATTCCATTCCTTTGAACATCTGGGCTTAATCCTTGGAATTTTCTTTGGGGCCTTGTTGGAAATACAGGACAACTAGTCACCACTACTCTGGTTGGAAAACATGTTTTTTGTTTCTTTTTAGGTTGTCAGGTTAACCCTGTGACTATTCTCCCTTGAAGAGCAGGCTGTGTTTCCTGTGTTTCCAAAGCTTCTACTGTAATTCATAGGGAACTCAGTAGGCTTCCCATGTACACAGGGTTGTTTGTGGTAGCTATGTCTCAGCTCATGAAAGGCTACTCACCAGACAGCCAGAGCATCTACCAAAATGCAGTCAGGTGCCTCTTAATGAAGGAGATATATCCTGAGAAATGTGTTAGGCGATTTTGTCATTGTTCAAATAAGATAGAGTATGCTTACACAAACCTAGATGGTTTAACCTACTACACACCCAGGCTATATGGTAGGCCCCATTGCTTCTAGGCTACAAACCTCTGCAGCACATTACTGTACTGAATTGTGTGGGCAACTGTAACACAATGATAAGTGTTTGTATATGTAAAGAGAAAAGGCACAGTAAAAATATGGTAATATAATCTTATGGGACCACCATTGCGCATGTGGTCCTTCATTGACTGAACTTCATTATGTGTGTGGCTCATGACTGTATAGTATAGAGGTGTTAGAGAACTGTACAACAGACAGAAAAATGTGTTAACATGACGGCTATAACCATAACTCCAATTTGCTTGTAGCCCCAGCAGCAGTAAGTAAAGATTCACTCAGTCACAAAACCACTTACTATGGGTGAGATGCAGTCTGGGTCCAGAAGATGAGAGGAGACCTGTACAAATATGTGATATAAATAAAATGATGAGTGTGTTGACAGGTCCCCTCCACCCCAAATCCCAGGGGTAGGGATGGCATGGCCTGAGATACGGGAGAGGAGCAGGTCAAAGTGAGTGAAGCTCTAGGAAGGGGTAAGGAGTGATGAGAGAGGAGAACGGAGGAAGAAAAGAGTCTTCAGGGATGCTAAAGCCAGGAGGAACCTGAGCAGTATAGAAACCAGCTCCTACTCCACCCTGAGATTACTCTTGGTAAAACAGCAGGGATTAGGGAAAAGAGAGTGAGGGGAGAATCCCCCTAGTGGCAGATACAGGAAGAAAGAAAAGTACCTGGAAGGGGTCATCCGTGTGTTGAGGACTGGACTGCATTAGAGGAAGCATGGGAAATACCTTCCAGCAAATAAGCTGGAAGGTTTTGGAAAGTGCAGTTACCTTTATATTAATTTCACAAACAAAAACACTTTAGGAAAAAAACATGAGTTTGTTTTCTTTGGGGACCATATGATGTTTACCCAGTTTCAGGTTGTGACAGATTTCAGAGTTAAGCATGTGTTAATTAAAGTCAACTATTTCATTTGATTTAGGTGGTTACATAGGTATATAAATAGTTAAAATCAAGTTGTACATGTAAGCTATATTAAAAATATTTTTAATCATAAAAAAACAACTATTTCAAAACATTATTTATTTCGGAGTTAGGAAGGTATGATCAATGGAAGGAAGATGGCTTATGTTTTTAAGGCACATCTTTGAAGAAAACTGCAAACCCAAAAGGCTGGCATTTCTGACAAGTAAAAATTACATAAATGCCTGCATTTCATTTCGACAGACATTGGCAATAGTCACTAGCATCACCCTTTGCATTTGCTCAGGGTTTTATAATTAACGAGCCGGAACCACATAAGCTGGAGGCCAACAGGCCTGGGTTTGAATCCAGCACCCACTCGCTTGTTACCTGATCCCCTGGACCACACGTTTCCGTCAGTCCGGTGGGTTTCAGTGACATGATGCACGTGCGGTAGGTGGATTTCTTTGTGTTCACATTTGTCTGTTGCTCTTCGTCCTCTATAAATGAACAGGAGCACAACAAAGTGATGACTGTAGTCAAGAACAAGTTAGGGTCTACTTTAAAATAACTAAAAGAGTGGAATTGGAATATTCCTACCACAAAGAAATGATAAATGTTTGAGGTGATGAATATCCCAACTACCCTGATTTTATTCTTACACATTGTTTGCCTGTATCAAAACATCACACGTACCCTCTAAATATAGACAACTGTTATGTACCCATAATAATTAAACATAAAAATGTTTTTAATTAAAAAAAAAGTGAACAAAGATTTTTGTCAGTTTTATTCACTGCTGTGTCTCCAGGGCCTAGAATAGTGCCTGGCACATATAAATACTTAGTGAACACTGGATGAACAGACAGATGATTCTGATTTGTAACTGCAGAAGGAAGGATAAGTTTTGTGTTACTGGGAGAAGAAGCAGAACAAAGAAGAATGAAAAGAAGGGTGAGTTCCTGTGGTTAGAACAGGGCCCCAGAATGAACAACATAATTGTACATGAAAAGGAAGTCTGAATTTATGTGTACTCACACTGGCAGTGTGTCTGATATATGGTTGGCTCTGAATATATGTGCTATTACTATTATTTTTTAACTTTTTATATTAACAGATTCAAAAGAATTTTTAATATGTATGATATAAAAAATAAAACGAACATTCCACCACCTAACTTAAGATACTATCTCTTATCCCTCTTTTTCTTTAAAAGTTTACCACATATTTCCCTTCTAAACAACATATTGCTCAGTTTGTCAGGTTTTTTTTTTTTTTTTTTTTTTTTTTTGACAGAGTCTCACTTTGTTGCCCAGGCTAGAGTGAGTGCCGTGGCGTCAGCCTGGCTCACAGCAACCTCAATCTCCGGGGCTCAGTGATCCTATTGCCTCAGCCTCCCGAGTAGCTGGGACTACAGGCATGCGCCACCATGCCCGGCTAATTTTTTGTATATATATTTTTAGTTGGTCAATTAATTTATTTCTATTTTTGGTAGAGACGGGGTCTCGCTCAGGCTGGTTTCAAACTCCTGACCTTGAGCAATCCGCCCGCCTCGGCCTCCCAAAGTGCTAGGATTACAGGCGTGAGCCACCACGCCCGGCCTAGTTTGTCAGGTTTTGAATCGTGCATCTTTATTACCCCGTGACTTGCTTTTTTTTTGCACATTTACTTTTCTTAAAGTCATGTTGCTTTGCCTACCTGTAGATTATTTTCACTGCTAGAAACGATTCCATTGTTGAATATACTGTAATTTATTTCCACACTCAGTTATTCTTGAACTCTTTTTTTCTATTTTTTATTTTATAAACTTTTTTTATCTCTGTTAAAGATATAAATTTTTATTTTTATTACACATTCAGAGAAACTTCTCTAGTAACGGACTATAGAAATGATCCCTGAAAGTATAGTCATATCTTCTTGAACTCTTATTCATTCATTCTTTCTTTCTTTTCTTCTTTCTTTCTTTCCTTTCTTTCTTTCTTTCCCTCCCGGACCCAAGTTTACTATTACAATAGTTCGCCCTTATCCCCAGGGAATACATTCCAGGACCCCCACTGCATGCCTGAAACCATGGATGGTACTAAACCCTATAGACACTATGTTTTTTTCCCCCTATATATATACCTATTATAAAGTTTAATTTATAAATTAAGCACAGTAAGAGATAAGCAACAATAATGAAATAGAACAATTGTAACAATATGGTATAATAAATACAGTGTTATGTGAATGTGGTCTCTCTCTCAACATATCTTACTGTACTGCACTCACCCTTATTGTGCTGATGTGAGAGGACACAGTGCCTGCGTGATGAGATGAATGAGGTGAATGACGTAGGCACTGTGACATAGCGTTAGGCTGTTGACCTTCTGACTGTATGTCAGGAGAATCATCCGTTTCTGGTGATCCTGGGTCATTGAGCCAGGAAGATGTCAATGGCTGAATGTTGGGAGCAGACCAAGTCGACGACTACCGGGCAGGCAGCACAAATAGCGTGGATACACTGGACAAAGGGATGATTCACATCCTGGTGGGACAGAGCAGGATGGCATGAGATTTCATCACACTACTCAGAACAGCAGGCAGTTTAAAACTTACGAATTATTTATTTCTGGAATTTTCCATGTAACATTTTCACACTGCAGTTGACCATGGGTAACTGAAACCATGGAAACCTTGGATAAGGGGGGACTATTGTACTAGCAAGGGTGCTAAGATGATTCTCGTGTATATCTCCTGACACATGTGTGCGAGAGTTTCTCTAGGGTACATCCCCAGGATGGAACTGCTAAGCCATAGTGTATGCACGTCTTCACTTTTGTTAGGTTTCTGTTATCTATTGCTGCGTAACAACCCTTCCCAAAACTAGTGGCTTAAATGAGAATCTTAATGGGGTGATAGAAATGTTCTAAAACTGTGGTGATGGCTGCACAACTTTTAAAATGTACACTTCAATGGTTGAATTTTATGGTATGTAAATCATACCATAATTATACCATAAAATTAAAGTTTTTTTTGTAAAAAAAAAAAAACAACTGAGTGGCTTAAAACAGCAACAGTCATTTATTTTGCTCAAGGACCTGGTACTGGGGCAGAGATCAGGTATGGTTCATCTGCCCCCAGGCAGGGTCAGCTGATGTGGCTCAAATGGTCCTGGATGATCCAACTTCCAGCATGCCCCACATGGCTGTAAGTTTGTGCTGGCCGGCAAGGTAGCCTCTCCGTGGAGCTATGTGAGCTTCCTGAGAGCAAGGTGGCTGGGCTACAAGGATAAGTATTCTAAGAGACTTGAACAGAAGCTACAGGCTTCTTCTGACCTAACCTTAAAAGTCCAAGAATGTCATTTCTGCTGCACTCTATTGGCCAAGCAAGTCACTAAGGCCAGCCCAGATTTAAGGAAAAGATTCAACCTCTTGATGGGAAGAGTTGCAGAAAATGTGACCATCTTTAATTTATCCTACAAGTTAATGGCAAATTGTTTCTCGAGTGGTAGTACCAATGGCACTCCCACGAGCAGGATATGCTCTTCAATCTCACCAACACTTGATAGACTTTTTAAATTTTGCTATTCAGGTGGATATGGAAGAACATCTAATTGTGGCTTTAATTTGTATTTCCTTAATTTTTAAGAAATTTGAGCATCTTTTCAAATGTTTATTGGTTGTTCATATTTCATCTTCTGTGAAGTGCTTGCTAAGTTTTTTACACATTGTATTATAGGGTACTCTGTCTTTTTCTAATTTATTTGTAGGAATTCTTCATATATTCTCAGTATTAGTTGCCTTAGCTTGGTGTTTTTTGTTTTGTTTTGTTTTTGCTGCTATAACAATACCGCATATTAGGTAATTTATAAACATTTATAAACAATAGAAGTTAATTTGGCTCACAGTTCTAAAGGCTGTGAAGTCCAAAAGCATGGCACGGGATCTGGTGAGGGTCTTTGTACCGCATCATCCCATGGTGGAAGGTGCAACAGGGAGAGAAGGTGGCAACTGAACTTCATCCTTTTATCTGGACCACATTTCCACAGTAACAGCATTAATACATTCCTTAGGTGAGAGCCCTCCCGATCTAATCATCCCTTAAATACTCCACTTCTTAAAACTGTAAGAAGAGCAATTAAATTTCAACATGAGTTTTGGAGAGGACGTTCAAACCATAGCATTAGTGCTTTGTCAGTTATGTACATGCAAATATCTTCTTCCAGTTTGTGGCTTGGCTTTTTTCTGTCTTTATGGTGTCTTTTTTTTTTTTTTTTTTTTTTTTGAGACAGAGTGTCACTTTGTTGCCCAGGCTAGAGTGAGTGCCGTGGCATCAGCCTAGCTCACAGCAACCTCAAACTCCTGGGCTCAAGTGATCCTCCTGCCTCTGCCTCCCAAGTAGCTGGGACTACAGGCATGCGCCACCATGCCCGGCTAATTTTTTTTTTTTGTATATATATTTTTAGTTGGTCAATTATTTTCTATTTTTTAGTAGAGACGGGGTCTCGCTCAGGGTGGTTTCAAATTCCTGACCTTGAGCAATCCACCCGCCTCAGCCTCCCAGAGTGCTAGGATTACAGGCATGAGCCACCACGCCCGGCTTTATGGTGTCTTTGGATAAACAGATATACATGTGGGTCTTTTTCAAGATACTTCCTTTGACTATGTCTGAATTAAAGACATTCTGCCTTTATTATTGCTATATAATAATTTATAATTTTGTAATTTGGGGGGTCTTTTATATACAATGATGTCATCTGTGCTGGCTAGAATAGCATATCTCATTCTGGAAAAGACAAGAATAAGTCACATCCAAGTTTTACTACTACTCTTATTATAGTATAACAAGAAATATATTTGGTATTTATCCTGGATTCCTAGCACAGAGCTCCTAAACCCCTTAGAATTTCCTGAGTGACAGGAATGTCTTTTGTGAGCCCCTTTGGATCACACCTGAGTTTTTGCTAATGAGGTGACTTACAGTGGAGCCTCTAGATAGCCTCAGGGTGGGGCTGACCCCCCCCAAAGACCAGGTGATTAGAGATGGGACCTTCAGCCATATCTACCACCCTCTGGGAAAAGGGGAGGGCTGTAGATTAAACTCTATAAAAACTCTTGAACAATTAGATTTGATCAGCTTCTGGGTTGGTGGATGCATCCCCATAGTGGGAGGGTGATGCAACTCCAACTCCATGGGGTCAGAAGCTCCCGTGTTCAGGACCCTTCCAGACCTCACCTGATGCACCTCTTCATCTGGTTTTTTTCTCTATCCCTTAAAATATCCTTTATAACAAACCAGTATATGCAAGTTACAAAGGATATAACTGTGAGTTGTTAAAAAGTTATTCATGACCCTTATTAAAATTATTCAAGGCCAGGCACGGTGGCTCACACCTGTAATCCTAGCACTCTGGGAGGCCGAGGTGGGCAGATCATTTGAGCTCAGGAGTTTGAGACCAGCCTGAGCAAGAGTGAAACCCTGTCTCTACTAAAAAAATAGAAAGAAATTAGCTGGACAACTAAAGTATATATATATATACATACATATATATATATATATGTATATATATATATATATATATATATATATATATATATATATATATATATATATATATATGCCGAGCATGGTGGCTCATGCCTGTAATCCTAGTATTCTGGGAGGCCGAGGTGGGCGGATCATTTGAGCTCAGGAGTTCAAGACCAGTCTGAGCAAGAGTGAGACCCCGTCTCTACTATAAATAGAAAGAAATTAATTGGCCAACTGAAAATATATAGAAAAAATTAGCTGGGCATGGTGGTGCATGCCTGTAGTCCCAGCTACTTGGAAGGCTGAGACAGAAGGATCGCTTGAGCCCAGGAGTTTGAGGTTGCTGTGAGCTAGGCTGATGTCACGGCACTCTAGCTGGGGCAACAAGAGTGAGACTCTGTCTCCAAAAACATAAATAAATAAAGTATATATATATATAAAATTTAAAAAAATTAGCCGGCATGGTGGTGCATGCCTGTAGTCACAGCTATTCAAGAGGCTGAAGCAGGAGGATCACTTGAGCCCAGGAGTCTGAGGTTACTGTGAGCTAGGCTGACACCACGGCACTCTAACCTGGGCAACAGAGTGAGACTCTGTCTCAAAAAACAAATTATTCATGACCTTTTATTAAATAATTATTCATGATGCTTATTAAAGGTGGCAAGACAAACTTTATTCAGGGGGGCATGGTGATGGGCACAGGGACCGCTGCAGCAGGGTCTTCCATGTGGGAATTTATAACCCACGAGCAGGGTGAGCATCACTGAGTGGAAAATTACCATGAAGAAACAGCACGGATAAGGCACGGTTTCTGGCTAACCCGACTTGATAGGAGTATTGCTGACGGCAGGCCAGCGTGATAAGACATCCAGAGTAGCTGCACCACTCCAAGGTGGGGCATTCTCCCTAAAGTGACTTAGCAGGATTCTTGCTCACACTGGATTCAACAAGGACAGGGAGGGAAGCCCAGGGTCTGGCCTAGTCATGCAGAGGACTTAGAGGAAACTGACGAAAGCTTTGGTCAGAGAAGAGTGTTTTTTTCCAGAGCCAGTCTAGCACAGGAGGGCGTCATGGCAACTCCTGACGTACAGCCAGTTGATGAGAAGTGTGGCACGCCCAGACTAGCAACTGGCATTGAACTGGGGGCAGTCTCATAGGAACAAGCCCTTAATTTGTGGGGTCTGATGCTCACTCCAGATATTGTCAGTCAGAATTGAATTAAACTGTAAGACACACAACTGGTGTCAGAGAATTGGTTGGTGTGGGGGGGAAAACCTGCATATATGGTGTCAGAAGTGTGCATCTCCCCGAATTAATTTTCAAACTTCAAATATTTCCCATGTGACCGAGCATGGCGACTCACACCTGTAATCCTAGCACTCTGGGATGCCGAAGGAGGAGGACTGCTTGAGCCCAGGAGTTTGAGGTTACTGTGAGCTATGATGACGCCACAGCACTCTACTCAGGGCACTGGAGTGAGACTGTGTCTCAAAAAAACAAAAAATTCCTATAAAAGAAATAGACTTCTCTCAAATCCAGAAGTTAATTCTCCCTCCCAAGTTTCCTCAAGATTCCTCTAGTTAACAACACTTCTGGTCACAAGGGTGCACAATATAGGGGATGTTTCTATCTTTCAACCTTATCAGTTGAGGACACAAAAATTTCTTTAGTTTCAGATCAAAAGTAAATCATTTATCTTATCTTGCATCTAATGTTCCAATATCCATAAGGGCACTGTGTATCCAGAATGCAAAACTCTGACATCCATCCTTACAAAATATTTCTTCTTGATTTTGGCACACCTGGCTTTCCGAAGAAAGGCAAACGAGAGCTCTTGTCACAAATAAATCCCTAAATACAAAACCTCCAAAGTACTCACTCAATTACTTACCCACATGCATCGAATCCCAGATTAGCATAATCATGGGTAAGTGGGCAAGTTAAATGAGTACCAAAATTTTTCCTTCAAAAAAATTGATATGGGAAGGTTTTAAATCACATGCGGTAAAAGAATTCTTCAGGGATAACAGAATTGTTTGAAACTAGCCTAACTGTAAAGTGCCTAACTGTCAATGACAACCTGAACTGTGTCCATATTGACTTCTCAGCACAGTCCTTCATGTATCTGTAAAATAGGGAGACAGCATACAACGACTTAGGCCACAGCAGCATGTGGATCACCACTGAGATTATAACAGGCTCGACACACCCTGACCAGTGCCAGGAGGAGCTCAGATGGTTGGAACCAGCTGAGTAGGACTAGGACTCTCTATGCCGGGGCCTCCTCGGGCCTCGCTCACTGCCTTGGGATGTGTACTGGGCTGAGGAGACCCTGGGGAAGCAGAGGGAAGGGCAAAGAAGGCAGCTCAATCCCAACCAGTCAAGTATGACTTCTCCTGATCAAGGAGAAGCAATACTGTGTCACTCATAGGCACCTCATGTGCTTTGCTATTGCCAGTGGCACCTGGGGAAGGAGCCTGGACTAGGACCTTTAGTTTGACCCCTGCCTCTGCCCCTGGGTGTCCTTGAAAAAAATCATTATTCTGCTGTGCCTCAGTTTCCTCATATATAAATGAGCTTAATAATATCTGTTTTGGCCACCCTAGAGGGATATTGTGAAAATTGGATGCTAGCTGTTGAGGACTGAACTCTGATCTTTTTCTTTTGCTAAAAAGTCCTTCCTAAGGAGGCCAGCTGGGTCAGGCTGGCAAATGGTAGATTCCCAGTAAGCAGCTTTTGTTAACCAAATGAAGCAGTGGTTTACTTCCCAACCTGATTCCGGTATGGCATTAACATCACCTAAAAGTTAAGAACCCCCTATCTTAACTCAAGCATCCTAGCAGGCGCCTATCATAAATTTAAAATATCTTAACTCGGGCCGGGCATGGTGGCGCATGCCTGTAGTCCCAGCTACTCGGGAGGCTAAGGGAGCAGGATCGCTTGAGCCCAGGAGTTTGAGGTTGCTGTGAGCTAGGCTGACGCCACGGCACTCACTCTAACCTGGGCAACAAAAGCGAGACACTGCCTCAAAAACAAAAAAACAAAAACAAATATCTTAACTCAAGCATCCTAGTAAGTGCCTATCATAAATTGAAAGCATCTTAACGCATCCTAGCAGGAGCCTATAATTAAAACGTCCTCCCGTCTGGACCTCCCAGAGTGCTCACACCCTTATCTTAAAATAAGCATATCCTTTCTGGTCTTCTAAATAAAGCCTCTCTCAGTCGATTGCCAGCCAAAGAATCTTTAAACCCACCTATAACCTGTAAGCCCCCCCTTCCAGATGTCCCACCTTTTGGGGCCAAGCCAATGTGTGCCTCTCATGTATTGATTTGTGACTTTGCCTGTAATCCCTGTCTCTCTGAAAATGTATAAAACCGAACTGTAGGCCCTGCGTGGTGGCTCACGCCTATAATCCTAGCTCTCTGGGAGGCCAAGGCGGGTGGATTGCTCGAGGTCAGGAGTTCGAAACCAGCCTGAGTAAGAGCAAGACCCCATCTCTACTATAAATAGAAAGAAATTAATTGGCCAACTAGTATATAGAAAAAATTAGCCAGGCATGATGGTGCATGCCTGTAGTCCTAGCTACTTGGGAGGCTGAGGCAGAAGGATTGCTTGAGCCCAGGAGTTTGAGGTTGCTGTGAGCTAGGCTGACGCCAGGGGACTCACTCTAGCCTGGGCAACAAAGCGAGACTCTGTCTCAAAAAAAAAAAACCTTACTGTAACCCAGCCACAGCAAGCCCACTTGCTCAAGGCTTCTTGAGAGTGGTTCCGGGCCATGGTCCTCAAATTTGCCTCAGAATAAACTTCTTTCAAATATTTCAGGGTTTGGATTTTTTCAGTCCACATTGTAAAAGCTACAAAATGCTCTACAAATGAAACTAACTAGAGCCATTACTACCTAAGGTGTTGACAAAGAGCCTAGATTCTGATCGGCCTTCCCAACAGGCACATGTGGAAAGCGCAGTGATCTCTTGCAAGTTACTTAACCTCACCCCTACATCCGGAATGGCCCCACCTACCCTCTGGGCTCTCCGTAAGAACTGAGTTCCCTGTTGCAGTATGACAAATCACTGCAAATTTAGTGGCTCCCAGGATACAACATTATTGTCTTACAGTTCTCCAGTTCACAGCTGTGAGCCAGGGCTCGCTGGCTAGGTGAGGAGCCTGGCACACCCCTAAGAGGGATGCCTGCTTCACGTCCCATCCCTGCTCACCCTTAACTCAGGACTTGGGGTGGTTTTCTCACTGATGAGTTGAAAGCTCTCTTTGAGTAAAGACAATCACCTGCTCCCGCCTGCCCCAACCCACAGAGGTAATGTAAATTGCTTCCAGTCCTTTCTAAGTAAGCAAATCGCTCTTCCCCCAGCCCCTTCTTTCTGGGAGAGCAGCCCTGGGTGCTAGAGCAGCGGCTGAGAGCAGTCAGGGCCTTACTTCCCAGAAACCTCAGGAGCACCGGGGACAAGGTGACTAAACAGTGGGCGTGGGAGGCACGCACTTGGGGCTCTCCTGAAGGATTTACCTGGGGAGGAAGGGCAGAGTGGGGTGAGCAGGGGAAGGTGCTTAAGATCAAGGAAGCAACAGAGAGGAAGGAATGGAGGCGTCAACTGCGGCGGGCTGGAGTCCTGCGATGGAGGGTTGCGGGGCTGGTGACACTGGGGAGAGACCGCAGCAGGGGCAATGAGGGGCTTTCACCAGCACAGCGACAAGGAGAGAGGTGTCGAGGTGTCGTTTTGGAGAGATGGGCCTTCACAGCTGTGGGGAAGCAGCTAGGAAGGAGACAGGGAGAGGAGACACCCAGGCCAGTCACCCCTTCCTCTTCCCTCATTTACTAGGGGAGGGTCTGTGTGTACAGAGGATCCCAAAGGTAAAGGTAGAATACAGTTCTGGATTGCTGTGTGACCTCGGACAATGTTTTAAAAAAGACCTCTCTGAGCCTGTGTCCCGAATAAAATAAAGGAGGTGGGCTTGTGGTTTCCAAATGCTTTCTCAGATGGGAAAGTCAGCTCAGACAGAATCCTACCCCAGATGAGATGATGAGTAAGGCGGCTCTGACTGGGGTGGACACTCCCCTAGCACTGGACCATTCAGTCCTTCCTTATTTAGGTCTCCCATGACGCAGTGCTTCCTGTACTGCAGCTCCCATGCTTCAGCTGAGTTCTTTTTTGGGGTGTGTTTGAATGCCAAGCTAACACTTTCTTTCATTGCTCTAAAAGAGATGTGCTTTTGAGACGCATGATCAGAAAAGCAGGAGTGAATGCTTTTATAACCTGTAGCTCAATAAGGAGAGTATCTGATTCATTCACAATGGACTTACTCCCATCCTAAGCCTGACTGGCATTCCATTCTCTTTTATTTTTATTTTTTAAAAAAATTTCACAATATTAAGGGGGTACAAATGCTTTGGTCACATAAATTGCTTTTGTACAGTTTGAGTCAAAGTTATCGTAGCTATGAATTTACCCATCCCCTCCTCCCCCTCCCACCTGCTTGATTTCTGATGAGTGTTATTTCCATATGTGCACATAAGTTTTGATCAATTAGTTCCAATTTAATGGTGACTATGTATGGTGTTTGTTTTTCCATTCTTGTGATTCATCACTTAGAAGCATGATCTCCAATGCCATCCACGTTGATTCAAGAGGTATTAGTTCACCATTTTTTTTTTATTGCTGAGTAGTACTCCATGGTATACATATACCACATTTTATTAATCCACTTATGGATTAATGTGGAATGATGGGCACTTTGGTGGTTTCCACATCTTTGCAATTGTGAATTGTGCTGCCATAAACATTCAGGTGCAGTTGTATTTTTTTATAAAATGTCTTTTTATGCTTTGGGTAAATACCCAGTAGTGGGATTGCTGGATCAAATGGTAGGTCTACTTTGAGTTCTTTGAGTTCTATCTACTCTAGTTCTTTTAGTTCTATCTACTTTCCATATAGGCTGTACTAGTTTACAGTAATCCCATGAGTATATGAGTTTTCCTATCTCTCTGCATCCACGCCAGCATTTGTTGTTTTGGGGCTTAGAGATAAAAGTCATTCTCACTGCAGTTAGGTGATATTTCATTGTGATTTTGATTTGCATTTCCCTGATAATTAGACATGTTGAGCATTTTTCATATATTTGTAGGCCATTAGTCTATCTTCTTTTGAAAAGTTTCTTTTCATGTCTTTTGCCCACATCTTAATGAGGTGGTTTGATTTTTTTTCTTGCTGAATTGCTTGAGTTCTTTGTAGATCCTGGTTATCAGCCCTTTTATCAGATGTATAGCATACAAATATCTGCTCCCATTCTGTAGGTTGTCTGTTCACTTTGTTGATTGTTTCCTTGGCTGTATGAAGGCTTTTTAATTTGGTCAGGCCTCATTTATTTATTTTGTTTTTGTTGTGATTGCTTTTGGGGTCTTCATAAATTCTTTGCCTAGGCCGACGTCTAAAAGAGTTTTTCCAACATTTTCTTCTAGAATTCTTACAGTTTCATGCCTTAGGTTTAAGTCTGTTATCCACTGTGTATTAATTTTAGTGAGTGGTGAGAGGTTTTACCATTCTTGTTACACTTCACATAGAAAAATGATCTCCAGTTTTAGTCCTTCTACATGTGGCTACTCAATTTTCCCAGCACCATTTATTGAGTATGATTGATTTATGAATCTGGGTGCACCTGTGCTAGGTGCATAAATATTTAAAATTGTTATGTCGTCTTGTGGAGTTGTTCCCTTCACCATTATATAATGATCATCTTTGTCTGTATTTATTTTTTGTTGATTTAAAGTCTATGTTATCTGATATAAGAATGGCTACACCAGCTTTCTTTTGGTTTCCATTTGCATGGAATATAGTTTTCCATCCCTTTACCTTGAGTCTGAATAAGTCCTTGTGGATTAGATGCATTTCCTGGAGACAGCAGATACTTGGCTTCTATTTATTTATCCATTCAGTCAGCCAGTGTCTCTTGAGTGGGGAGTTCTAGCTATTCACATTTATTGAAAGAATTGACAAGTGGGGTGGATTTCTGTTCATCCTGTTGCATAGAACTTTACTGCTTTGTTTTGCCTCTTGGGCCATTGTGGTAACTTGGTGCTGAACGTTAGCATTTGGATGCTTTTAAACTGGTGGGAGTGTCTGTTGTGCTGATCAGAGTATAATGCAGATCTGAGTACTCCCTGCAGGGCAGGTCTGGCCTTGATAAATTTCCTCAGTGTTTGCTTGTCTGAGAAAGTCTTTATTTCTTTCTCATATAAGAAACTTAGTTTTGCAGGATACAAAATTCTAGGCTAGACATTATTGTGTTTGAGAAGATTGAGAATGGAACCCCAGTCTCTTTTGGCTTGTAAGGTCTCAACTGTGAAGCCTGCAGTTATACTGACAGGTTTTCCTTTGAAAGGTACCTGATGCTTTCACCTTACAGTTCATAGGAATTCCTCTTTTGTGCTAACTTAGGCTAGTCTCACGATTTTATGTTGTGTTGATTGCCTCTTGGTGATGAATCTTCCAGTAGTCTATTGTGTTTCTAGTACTCTTGGATGTCCAGGTTTCTAACAAGGCCAGGAAAATTTTCCTCAATTATTCCCCCAAGTAGGTTTTGCAACC